GGGGGGGGGGGGGGGGGGGGTACTCATAGTCGTGCATGCGGTAGTCGTTAGACCACTGCCCTAGCATCCCTGCAAAGCCGGGACGGAGCACGCCGGGTTCTCGCCGGACCAGGCTCTCACATCAACAAGCGCGAAGTGCCGTGAGGTATTCGGCGAGTCGCATGAAGGGTACGCTGCACCTGCTAAGCGTGTTCGGATCTTGTGCTTGCTTCCTCGCATACAGATGACAGCTGCGAATGACTTATTTTTTTTTCTGGTGCTTTCACTTCCGGGGACAGTTAATTGTACTGTGTAATTGTCTCGAGGGTACGTGACCGATATAACACAACCTGGTGCGATCATTCCCTTGTGCGGAGTGAGGGTTCTCTACCCCGCACAACAAAGCCTACTCGACCAACACTATGGTTGCGGCAAAAAACAAAGCGGTAACCTGGTTGCCGAGCTCACGAGGTGATCGGCTAGTTTTACAAAGTCGTTGCCAAGCGACGAAAACCCAACCCCGATGGCAAACACCGGGGGGGAGGGGGGGAGGGGGGGTAAACTCGCTGCATGTTTTGAGTAAGCGTAAGGGGAGCCGCCGTCTGATCCTTTCCACATCGCCCCTCAGACTGGACCACTAGACTATTGTCTTCTGGGAAACCTCTTCCGGTCTCCTTCCTATCTGAGCTTTTCGCTCCGTGTTGCCCACCATTCTTGTGTGCTGACGCCTAATTTTTCCACTTGGCGTGGCCAACCTTGCGTGGTCATCTTTGCGCCTTTTAGACTTATTTGCGTGCCTGTCTTTCGTGTCCCTCATTCGTTTGCGTGCGTGGGCGTCGACCACTCATCAACGTCGGAACTCCTGGTCACCGGTATCGCCGCTCACGCTGCTGTAGGTCGGGTCCAGTGACAAGGCGGCGTCCAAGCAGCTGATAGCCATGGGCGTGACCGACAGAAACATTCTGCTCTTCCTGGCTCAGATCGAGGAGCAGATCGACTACATCGTGCAGGCATGACCACCATAATGCGCCCCCACCACCAATGAACCTCTCGTTTCGGGCAACCCTACTAAATAGCCCATGGTTGTTTCCTCTGGGAACAAGCCTGAGTATAGGCTTTAGTGTGGGGTGCTCCAAGTTCTTGTGTTTCAAATCGTAAACGTGTAATAGGTCTGAACTTTGCCATTATTTTCAACGTCCATCGGTGTACCCGCGGTCTCAGGCACACCCCTCCCCGCCACTTTCGCGCGTGACTTGATTTGCCCGAACCGAACTCCCCTCTCTTTTGTTTTGGTGCTTGCTCATGCAAGAACATTCACGCCATTCCGCCTCCTCCCGCAGGTGTACAACTCGTGGCACGGCCGCATGTACCCAAACAACACCCCCCCCCAATCCCTTCCCCACCGCGTTGGGCGCGTCGTGGATTAACTTGCCGGAACCCCGCGCTGCTCTTCTTTTTGTGCGTGCCTATATATGCATGACTTCCAAGCCGCGTCCTCCTGCAGGTGTACAACGTTGCCTTCTTTCGTGCGTACCTATATGCATGTTGTCCACCTTCACCTCCACCTCCTCCCGCCCGCAGGTGTACAACGCCGCAACGGATAGCACGGCCGTGCCGAACGTCCGCCGTCCCTCCACCCCGGTGGTGAACCAGTCGACGGGGGAGCGCGTGCCGAGCATGTGCACGCCGCACCCCCCGTCCTCGGACACGATCGACGACACCCCCCTGGGCATGTCGGCGGCGGTGGCGGAGGAGGACGCCGACGGCGCCTTCCGCCCGATCAACACGGCCAGGGTGAGCAGTAAGACGTACATGTGGCCGTGGTATCTCGACTTTAGTTTATCCGTGGGAGCCCGTACTATTTGCGACAAACAGGCGTTTTCCGGCCCGAGATCAGTGTGAACGGCAGGAAGGAAAAAATGTGCTCCCTTTGCGTGGTAGGTGCTGTTTGAGTCGAACGTCGAAGGCTATCATGTAGTACAGCAGTAAAACACAAGGGAAAATTTAGTGTCTGCAACTTGCCAAAACTAACGTCGCTTGGCTTTGCAGCGCTAGGCGGCAAAGCGGTTTGACTCCTGAAGCGTCATCAACGAAAACTCTTCTTGCGGAATCCCGTCCGCTCAGGCTCGAGGACAGAAGGGAAAGACTTGCCGAGAGGCAAGCGGTCACTCGTCTCTTTCGTATACTGTCCTTGCAAAGTGAACCACTCTCGCCAGCCTTGTTTGCGAAGGGGGACGTGGGTTCTCGCTTCAAGACATGTGTCCGGTGCATGATCCTTTCATGTGTTATTGAGCCGCTAAGGGGTTCACAGAGTCATTGCTGGCCCCAGTAGAAACTGCTCGCCCTTACCACCGCAGCGCATTCGTGACTATTTTTGAAGGGTACGTTTGCGCGTGACACGTTTTATCACACGCACACACGCCTTCGATCCGTCTAATCAAAGAGATCGAAAGACACAGCATCCATCCGTTGAAAGAGAGTACAACAGGCTCGTTCAGTTTCACCTCTAACTTCTTCTGCTCGTTCGTGCCACTGTAGTACAAAAGCATGACATAGCAACAACTTTTGACACGAACCAGGTGGCGGTAAGCATGAAGGAGCAGGTACTACGCATGCCCCAGGGGATTAACAAGGCGGGCGGCGGCGGAGGCGGCGCTGGGGGGGTGAAGGGCGTCAAGATCGGAGACGGAAACTTTTCGGGACGCGCCGCCAAAACGGTGAGTGACCTCTTGCAAGAGCAAACCGTTACGAAAGTCGCACTATTGCAAACGTCCGCGTAAACGTGCCCTTGGTTTTGATTGTGTTACAAGTGTCAAAGCGACATGTTTACAAACGTCCGCATCAATTACGCCCTTGGTCTTGGCCTTGTTGCGATTTTCAAAGCGGCATGTTCACATACGTCTGCATCAATTGCGCCCTTGGTCTCGGTTGATCTACGAGTTACGAGTGTCAAAGCGACATGTTTGCATACGTCCGCATCAACTACGCCCTTGGTCTTGGCCTTGTTGCGATTGTCAAAGCGGCATATTTGCATACGCTGTTCCCCACATGGTGGAACGTCCGGCCTGAAAATCCGTCGAACGCTTGCGGTAGGACGGAGGGGGGGTATGCATGCGGCTGTGCGTGTGCCCCGATACAGTAAATCGACCATCGACCACGCGGGACATAAGCGAAACACGATTGATTGGTTGTGGGCGGGGGAGGAGGAGCGGTCCCGCAAAACAAAATTCGAAGTATTTTATACGCTCGTCATCTCCCTTTGATAGACTGATGCGCCAGGCGAATATCTGGGTGTGCTCTTCTCTGTGCATGGGGCTTCGAAAGGTGCGTGTAGCTGTGGTCAAGTCTTCGATAAATACCTGCCCTGTTCCCCCCTCGCGCTTCTGCACAACCTCCTCCCTACCTCATATAGGTTGGCTTGCCGCCAGAGAAATCGCCAAATGCTATCATCGGGGTTATGGACTCAGTCCAAGACTCGTCCACGTCGGGGGGGGCGCGCGGAGCGTGACAAGGTCAAGACTCGTCCACGTGAGAAATTGTTCCATCCAAGCAAAATAATCTCGTTCCAATACTTCGAGACAACGCAGGGGGGCGAATAGTTATCGGCTCGTTCAAATCGGGGTACTACCGGGAGCGTGGCTTGAGTTTTCGATCCATTGCTGACCCTCGCCCTCCCCCCGTCCCAAACCACCCTTGCTTGTGCGTTGCGCAGGGGGTGTTATCTCGCGATTTTTCAAGTCGAGTTTCAGGTTGTGTGAATGGCGAACGAAGCGCAGGAGAGCGCATTAGATGTGTTCCGTACTCTAGTAAGTCGCTAAGACTGGCGAGATGGACAGTTTTTGTGTTGGAGACAGAGATAGGGTGTGAGGAGAAATGACATGACGAAAGCATTACTGCCGCTGATGAGCATGTACCGCAAGAATGCATCGAGATTACACATGCATCTTGTCGTCGGTCAAGTTCCAAGCCGACGATAGACCTTTGCACAAGACCGGGGTGGGCGTACTCTTGTGTGTTGCATGCCTTAGCGGTTAGACCATTGACCACGCGTCCTCGAGAGGACGGAGCATTGTTCCCACAGGACCGATCACCGATGGCCAATCGTTCCTTCCTACTTTGCCAAAGGTGGCTCAAAAATGTCTTCCCTATTCTATATATCCTACTGATATCACTTCCCGCCGTTTCAAACTACTTCCTACTCCCCGGTACAGCCACCGTCTTCTCCTCTCTATTCCATGCCTCAAACATCCCCCTGTACCTCCCTTGTATTATTCCCAGCTCAGTCATGTACACTTCCCTCTCCTTTTCGTACAACTGACATTCCGCGAC